GTAGTCAGAATCTCCTTTTTCTCTTAGAAACTGTACTAAGTTGTTTCTGGTGTTATTTACAGCACACAAAGGCTGCTTGAAAAAATATTGAGAGCTATTTAAATGTCATTGTCAGAGAATTTAAAAGGTTCAAGGGGGCTGGGACCTTTTTTCCTTTAGGTCACCAAATCAAAAGCCATCTTGCTCTGTAGTAACTAAAAGATATTTTCACATGAAGGTTGTTTATGTGAAACCTCTGAGCTAGTTTTCTTTCTTTTTTTTCCTGTTAAGAATCCCTTTAGTGTGCAGTTAAAAGTTTCACATTTAGTTTTTTTTAACTTTTTTTAAACACTATCAAACTTACAGAAAATTTGTAATACAGTACAAAAACTATTTTTTCAGAAATTTGAGACTAAGTTGCTGACATGATGCCCTATCATCCTTGAAAACTTTAATGTACTAAAGTGTACTTCTCCTACATAATGTAAAACAATATCCAAATCAGCAAATAAACACTGATACATTACTACCATTTAATCCGCAGACCCCATTCAGATTTCTCCAGTTGTTTCTACGGTGTTATTTACTGCAGGAAGAGTCAGCTTAGAATCACACATTGTATTTAGTTGTCAAGTCTCTTCACTCTTCTTCAGTCTGGAACAATTTCTTAGTTCCTCAGTCTTTCATGACCTTGACAGTTTGGGAGATTACAAAGCCAGTTATTGTGTCAAGTATCCCTCAATTAGAGTTCATTTTCTCATGGTTAGATGCATGTCATGTGTATTTGGCGGCAATATCACAGAAGTGATGCTGTATTCTTTTTATTATCAGATGGTACATAATTTTCATTTGTCCCATTACTGATGATGATCCCTATGTTTAGTTACAGTGGTGTCTACCAAGTTCTTCACTATGTAGTTGCTCTTTTCATCTTTGTAATGATAAATAATTTGGGAGAAGCACTTTGAAACTATGTAACTATTCCATTCATCATCTGACTTTCAGTTTACTTACTTATTAATGTCAATATGGACTCATGAATTTATTTTTTTCAATAGTTTATAATTCAATACTATCATTATTATTTTGACACTTCCCTGTCTCAGATTTGGCCAGTGGAAACCCCTTCAAGATGATTTCTATATCCTTTAACATATCCTCCTCATTTTGTTAGCACCTCCTTGCTTTGTGACGCAACAAAATGTTCCAGACCCATCTTATACTTTTCCCTGCCCCAACCCTGGAATCAGCCATTTCTCCAAGGAGCCTGGTTCCTTAAGTGGAGAATGATATTTAGAAGTTATTATCTGGATGTCAGAAGTTGTTGTAGTGTCACTGCTGCCAGGTGCTATTAGTGGACAGGGCTAGGGACTATATGTATGTATATCCATACATACACATATACACACATTTACATCTCTATTTTATATATGTTATATAGAGTAGAAGTCACGGGTTCATGCCAGTACCTTCATTTCCAATATAGTACCCCAGGGTTTTTGTTTTTTTGTTTTGTTTTGTTTTGTTTTTGTATTTGTAACTCCCTTCTCTGACAGAGAAAAATCTGGCTCTTATCCTTGTTATGTTTACTTATTTGATCAAGCCTCTTTATATAGTCAATCATCCGTTGCCACTATCATCCCTTCCTCAGCACAGATACTTTTCTTGCCTCATTTGGGTTCTGACATCCTGTACAATAGCGATTGTGCTATGTGGACAGTCTTTTCAACTGCTCAGGCTCTGACACCTCCATGCAAGGCTGTCCCTAATATGTAGATGCCCTCTCCACTCCACTCAAGTTCTGATACTTTACACTGGAGCACCCCTGTGTATGGAAGCTCTCCCCACTGTCCCCATGTGGGTGCCTTGCTTACCCCACTTAGACTCTGAAAACCCACACCAGACCACCTCTATGCATAGATGTCCTCTTCACCATGCTGAGGCTCTGTCTCATGCTAAGCTGTCCCTTATCTTGGATACCCTCTTTATTTCTCTTGGACTCCAGCCTTCCAAGTCAGGCAATTCTCCTGCCTGAATGCTCTCTAGCCTGCTCAGGTTCTGATTTCCCATTTGTCTGCCTTCCATATAGAATCCCTACTTACCTCATTCAGACTGCCCACCCCATATGTCATACTCTTCAGGCTAGTTGGTCTCCAGCAGCCTTCCTTGGGCTCCCTCCCTTCCTTGCATAGATATTGCTCTCCCCCATCTTAGGTTTTGACAACCCATACCAGGCTGCTCCTTTGCTTATTTTAAAAATATGTGTATTTTCCCTGCCTCTATGCTTTGCTGCTATCATCTAATGGATCATATGTTAAAATTTTAAAATTAAAATAGAATATAGTAGAGTGGCTGTATTTTTCAAAATGAAAATTAAAATATGACCAGATGGGGTACCTGGGTGGCTTAGTCATTGGGCGTCTGCCTTCAGCTCAGGTCATGGCCCTGGGGTCCTGGGATCAGGCCCCGCATCGGGCTCCCTGCTCGGCGGAGGGCCTATTTCTCCCTCTCCCACTCCCCCTGCTTGTGTTCCCTCTCTTGCTGTGTCTCTCTCTGTAAAATAAATAAACAAAATCTTAAAAAAATATATATGACCAGATAATAGTATTGAATATTTGAAATCAGTACTGTCCTGAACAGCTTTGGGTATATGATCATCATTAAAAGAAAGAACAAAGAAGGTTTTCTAGCAATGGAGGAGTACCTCCTATTGAACCAGCCTTCCAATAGATAACAATGATAGATTCTGGATAAAATATGAAAAAATCTATTACCTGAAGGCATTGGAAAATGTCAGAACCAACCTGTTTTTATGTTTGTTTTGACCCAAGGGTAGGCACCAGTTTTAGCCTCAGGGTGACCAAAACTTGGATAGATAATTCACAGTTACACTAGCTTAAAAAGCCAGGGCGCCTGGGTGGCTCAGTTGGTTAAGCGACTGCCTTCAGCTCGGGTCATGATCCTGGAGTCCCGGGATCGAGTCCCACATCGGGATCCCTGCTCAGCAGGGAGTCTGCTTCTCCCTGTGACCCTCTTCCCTCTCATGCTCTCTATCTCTCATTCTCTCTCTCAAATAAATAAATAAAATCTTTAAAAAAAAAAAGCCATAGCAACCACAGCAGGCTGGGAAGTAAGGAGGGAAATCTTGGTATGAAAAAGGCAGAGAGGGCTTTTTTATCTATAAATTCTCTGGCTGCTCCAGATCTCTAGCTGATCCTTGAAACACACATATATGGGATTACACTCTGAGCAGCCCATCTGAGGCTAAATATTGAACAGAGATTTATGCCTCTGCAAGAGATCATTTTGTCCCAGTTTCCCGGGGACTATGAAAGTTCTCTGATCTGGAAAAATCCTCAATCCCAGGCATGCTGGGACATTTGGTTACTCTAGTTGCTGCTCACTACAGTGAGACAGAATTCGTGTTTGAGTCTAGGCAAATTAATTGCATGCTTTGAAATGTAAAATAAAGAAAAACTCCTATGCTCTTCAGAGGAACATAACAAAATCCAGAAATTCTGTAACATATCATTTATAATGTCCAGGGTACAATCCAAAATCATTAAGTCATATGAAGAAGCAGGAAAATGTGCTTATGCTCAAGATAAAAGGAAATCAATGGTAACTGACCCCAAGATGACATAGATATTGGAACTGGAAGAAAGGATCTTAAACAGTTATGTTAATCATACTCAAAGATGTAAAGGAAAGTATGCTTGTAATGAATTAACAAATAGGAAATCTTGGCAAGGAAACTATGACAGAAACAAAATGGAAATTCTAGAACTAAAACTTGTAATATCTGAAATAGAAAACTCACTAGACAAACTTAACAACAAATTAAGATGACAGAAGAAAGAGTAAGTGCACTTGAAGGTATATCAATGAAAGTATTCAATCTGAACAACACAGAGGAAAAAAAAACCATTGGGGTGGGGGGAGAACAGAGCTTTAGGGAGTTGTGGGAAAATATTAAAATGTCTAACAACATGCAGTTGAAGTCTTAGAAGGGAAGGAGCAAGAGGATGGAGGAGAAAAAGTATTTGAAGAAATAATGGCTGAAAATTTCTCAAGTTTAGTGAAAAACATAATTTTACAAAAGTTCAGTGATCACAAGTGAGATAAATTCAAATAAAATCACACCTAGGTGTATCATAATCAAACTGCTGAAAACCAAAGGTAGGGAGAAAATCTTGAAAGCTTTCAGAGAAAAAGAATATATATAGGAAAACAATAATACAAATACCACTGACTTCTCATCAGAAACAGTAGAGCCTAGGAGGTAGTAGAATACCATCTTTAAAGTGCTGGAAGAAAACTGTCAACCCAGAATTCTGTATCAAGTAAAAATATCCTTTAAAATTGAAGGCAAAATTAAATAAAAATCTTAAAAAAAAAAAAAAAAAGCAGGGGGGATGCCTGGGTGGCTCAGTCAGTTGAGCATCCAACTCTTCATATTGGCTCAGGTTATGATCTCATGGGCCTGAGATCAAGACCTACATTGGGCTCCACACTCAGTGTGGAGTCTGCTTGTCCCTCTCCCTCCCCCTTTGTCCCTCCCCCCACTTGCTCACTTGCTGTCTTTCTCTTTGTCTGAAATAAATAAATATCTTTAAAATTGAAGGCAACAAAAAAAATTTACAAATAAATGAAAACTAAGAAAAATTGTCACTCACATAATTCCACTACTAGAAATGCTAATAGGAGCTCTTTTGACAAGAAACATGATACCAGATGGGAACTCAAGTCGTCAGGAAAACATGAAAAGTACTAGAAATGTTAAGTACAAAGTACTAATTTTTTCCTCTTCATCTCTTTAAAATACAATTACTGTGTAGATAATTCCTTTTATTCCCCTTGAGGTACTTTTTAGGGAGGATAGAGGGAGGAAAGAACAGTCCTTCTCTGAAGAGGAAATCTGCTAAAGCTTCCAAAATGGTATCCTTATTAAATTTAGAATGCTCCAAATCTGAAAAAAATTTAGTCTAAGTAGCTAATATTTATAATCCTTTTCTTTTCAGATATAAAACCAAATGTGGAACTGAAAAGCACTCAGGAACAGTCTGTGCCCACAGGTAACAGGTCTTTCTAGAAGTATACCTTTACTGAAATTACCAAAGGAAGAATATTCTGATCACAGTAAAAATGCTATAGAAATGTATTGGAAAAAATGTGGTTGTCTCTTTCTGATACAAAAATAACTCATCCATTTAGATTACATAAATTCTTTGGCATCATCAGGCCAAATCACACCCCACCTAGTGTTGATCGCTGTTTTTTTCCTTAAATTTTTTTTTAACTGACTGTTTTAAATAAAGACAGTTTTGTTGAACAGTATAGTAGCTTATGTTTTATCAGCTTGTGCTTTTCACTATAGATAGTGGTCAGCAAACTTTTTTGTGTAAAGGGCAAGGTAGTAAATTTTTAGACTTTGTGGGCCATATATGGTCTCTGTTGCTATTCCTTTTTAAACAACTTTTTTAAAAATGTAAAAACCATTCCTACTTCCCAGGCCCATACAAAAATAAGCCATGGCTAGATTTGGCTCTCAGGCCATTGTATGCTGACTCCTGCTCTATAGTACACTATAAACATTTAAAATCTATTTCTTAAAAATAACTTCTATGTTTTCTGGATTGATTAACTCACTTTGGATCAAAATTTATGCTATATTACAAAATTTATCACTTAAGTACCTTTTTGTTATTGTCAGTTATAACCTAATATTTTAATTGAACCTGTACCTCATGTTAGTTGTTCAGGTGTGCACTTTATCTTAGTCATTTTGAGCTTGAGAAAAGTGAGCTACTATTTAGAACAGTGTCTAGTTCATAGAGTATATGTTACAATATGCAGAAACGAGAAACTTAACGTGTTTATAAATCAAAACATGAGTCCATGATAACCATATTTTTAGCACCTATTCATCATGGATTTTATGAAATATGTTTCCATTTTACTACTGCATTCCAGCAAAAGTCCTGCTCCATGTGTTCAGTCATGGGTGCAGCTGAAAGGAATGTCACTGCAGAGTTTCTAGTCACTTCTCCTACGTCACCTAGCTTAAACGCCACAAGATTCAGTATCTTTCACTATTTGTTGTATGTAGTAGCTACTCAGTAAATATTTTATTGAATATTAGGGAGGACATTAGGAGTTTGATAGAAAGTGAATATGTTTTTAGTTTATTTCTTTTGTTAACATCTTTTTAAGCTACCATGCTTGAACATGAAATAATGCCAGCTACATTATTTCTTTTCTTCTAATGTCTAATATTATCAGTATTTATATAATACACAAAAGTATATTTCTGTTAAACTTGATTTTTAACAACTTTGCTGTTTGTTTAAGCATGCTTTTATTATGTCTGCTCCCTTTCACTTATGAACTCCTGTAATACTTTGTATTTCCCTTCCTCTCTTGTCTGAGTCTACATTATAGTTATGATCTTGTCTTATCTACATCTACAAATTATAAGCTCCGTAAAGACAGGAATTATGACTTACTCATATCTGTAGCCTTGTCAGCATTTAGTTATTCAAAGAAATAAAGGAACTTGAGGGCCAATATGTCTTCCACAGAATCACATTTCTAATGTGAACAGAAAAGGAAAATAGGATTTGATATATAGTTGCTTATGGGTTTTCTCTCAGGAAAACATGTTTCTCAAATTGGGCTATGCCAGTGTTGTTGAGCTCAGTATTTCTCATCACTACATTATGCTTCTTGTTCATAAATAGCAGTAGCATCCTACTGAATATTGTGAGACATACCAAAGGAGAGAGAATTTCTGTCAGGAAAGAATGTGAATGCATTTTAACTCAGGTGCACCCTGGGCATATTTCTGAACCTCAAGAGTCTTCACATATATTCCACTTAAGGTATATATGAAAGGGATACTGTCTGTCATTAAGAGATTATGCTGAAATGGGAGTCTACTTAATAAAAATATTATATTTTTATATATAAAAAGTTTTATATTATAAAAATCCTTTAAAGTTGGCCTGCATAGTTAAAATTCTTTTTATCTCCTAGAAGGTCCAGTGATTTTGAATGACTACAATTTAACCAAACCACATGAAACAGAAAATGTGGACAGTGCAGAAGGCCCAACCAATGAAGATGAAGATCTAGGAGGTGGGTCATTGTGTATAGACTAAAAATGGTTATAGATATGGTTGAAGCTTAATATGTAGAAGAAATCAGGATCTCTCCAAGGAAAACTTGGATTTGTAGGTTGAGTTGGGAGTAATTAAGTTTTCTTCATTTTACCAACATTAATACTTAGGGGCTCCTGGGTGGCTCAGTCAGTTAAGCATCTGCCTTCAGCTCAGGTCATGATTGCAGAGTCCTGGGATGGAGCCCCGCATCGGGCTCCCTACTCAGCAGGGAGTCTGCTTCTCCATCTCCCGTTCCCCCTGCTTGTGCTCTCTCACCCACTCTCTCCCAAATAAATAAAATCTTTTAAAAAAACATTAATATTTAATAATTTGCTGAAGGATATCTGCAAACTGAGAATTTAAGGCGCTTATTCAGTGTTCAAGTTATACCAACTTCATTTTTAAAATGTTTATTTGACTCTTTTCCATTATAAAAATAATAACTGTTCATTATGGAAAGTTTGGGGTATTTCCCAACACCAATAACCGATTCTCTAGTTCTTCAGACAGTAACTAGGCATCCAACAATTCAATTCAATTCTCATACTAACTCCTGGAGTTAGCACAGAACCCACAGGTTGAGGACTCAGTCCCATGAGACTGCCCTCACTTTAGACACCAGTTGAAACTTCCAGGTCTCCGTATTACCTGCACTTCTGTCCAGCTTGGCTACAGTGCAGGGTTTTTCACAACCACTCCCCTCAGTTTTAATAAGGTGCTAGAATGACTCACAAAATCTAGGAAAGAACTTCACTTACTATTACTAGTTTATTATAAAGGATACAACTCAAGAACAGTCAAATGGAAGAGATGCATAGGGCAAGGTATGGAGTGGGAGGGGCTGGAGCTTCCATGCGCTCTCGGGCATACCATCCTCCCATCATCTTGATGTGTTCACCAACCCAGAAACTCTCTGAAACTCATTGTTCAAGAATTTTTATAGAGCTCAGTCTTAAGTTGCACACCGCCCCCCATCACTTTGTCTTTCTGGTGACCGTCCCATCCTGAGGTTATCTAGGGGTCTTACCCTAAGTCACCTCATTAGCATAAACTCAGGTGTGATTGAAAGGAGATTGTTATAAGTAACAAAAGATACTTCTATCACTCAGGAAATCCCAGGGGCTTTGGGAACTCTTGTGCCAGGAACCTGGGACAAAGACCAAATATATTTTTGTATTTTACCATAAGCTACCCACTGCTCTTTGACCACGAATCTCTTATAGCAAAAGGATCATAAAAGTCAAAATACTGATAGAGTGCCTGGGTGGCTCAGTCGGTTAAGTATCTGACTCTCGATTTCTGCTCAGGTCATTATATCAGGGTCATGATCTCAAGGTTATGAGATTGAGCCCCTGTAGAGCTCTGTGTCTGGCTCCGTGCTCAGTACAGAGTCTGCTTGAGATTCTCTCTCTCCCTCTTCCTCGGCCCCTCCCCCTGCTCGTGGGCTTTAGATAGATAGATAGATAGATAGATAGATAGATAGATAGATAGATAGATAGATAGATAGATAAAATCTTTAAAAAACAAAGTCAAGATACTGGCATATTACTACAGTCACATTCAGTCATTAATAATTATTCCAGTCCATCATAATATCATATGAAAATGTCTTCCAGGGTGAGGCCACTCAGATTTGCAGACTTCCATTTGATTCTGTCAGGTTCCAAAAACAGGAGTGGTCTCAGCAATATATGGCTTGACCTTTTCAGCATCTGGTATAATTGAGCTGAGAGACAATATTTATTATTCTCTTGCTCTGAGCCTCTCTTCAGATTTTAATATAATACTGGATTTCTTTCATTATATAACCCATTGATTCGTTTCTTTACCCTCAGCTACTATTCCTTCTTCTCTTCATTTCTACCTGAACCTTTCCACTTTTGGAAGGAACATTAGGTTTAACAGCCATGCTGGTCTAGATTGCAGGCAGCAGTACTAGTCTAGCAAGTCCCTCCCCCTCAATCCACTCCTATCCCTATAGGGTGGAGTTACTTAGGTACAGAACCAGCAGGCTCTTTTTGCCACTAGCAGTAGAGCGGCATTCACTGTTAATCTCAGTTTGGGCAAATGGAGTGAAGGCACAACCTGCCCTATCAGGCCTTTAGGAATCCTGACATAAAGGTTTAAAACTATAGTTATGGTTTCTTGCCTAGGAGTCATTCTGTTTCTGGCACTTGCTGCAGCCCTAGTCCCATGACTACTGCATCAAGTAGGAAAGAGAAAGTTGAGGTGATAAAGGAAAAAAAAGTCCAATGAAAGAAAAAAAAAGTACGGACATCAAACCAGTGTCCTCTCCCCTTGGGAAGAATTATAGTCATACCAATATTTTCCCCCCATGGAAAAAATTGCATAGTCACACTAGTGTCCTCCCCAAACCCTCTTCCCCAGATCCACCAGAAAAACAGGAATCCTATCAATGGGGACACTACCTTAGCCCTGCTCATGTTGAGTGTGAGCATACATTCTTAAAGGCATGTACACCAGCCCTTCATGCCTACAAGGTCCCCTGTTTTAAGCAACCAATGTTTCAGTTACCTATTCCAATTCTCTATGAAACTATTCTGAGGACAATTCTCTCTGTTCATCATTTGACAGTATAGGCCGTAAAGTGTATTTCTTGTCCGGAAGAAATATGATTTGGTGATCCAAATTGGTGCAATATCTTCCGATCCATTTTTTTTTTTTTTTTTTTTTTAGTACTCCGACATTTGCATCTACCACCAGGTAAGCAATGCATAGTCCAGAGTCAATGTCTATTCTGTCAAAACCCATTTGAAGCCCTCCCACCCCAGCTACTGGCATTGGTTAAGTATAATTTACTTGCCAGCTATGTGGGGGGGCCTTTCCTCTGAGGAATCTTCCCCATAGCCATAGGCAACTTCTGTCTCTCTTGTTGGCAGATAGAACAGTTCTTGCTGGCCTCAGAGAGTGCAAAAAGAATTTTGAGCCCCAGAGAGTGCAAAAGGAATATGTCCAGTTTCAGCCCTCTGTATTGCTGTGGTCCCCAAATGTCTATTTCTTTCATGGACCCAGGTAGCCACTTCAAATAAGTACACTGTGATATCAGCTTGGTTCCAATGACCTTCCAAGCCTGGAAGGGGATTCTTCTGATGGGCATTGACATGTCCTACTTTAATATACCCCTCAAATTTCTATAGTGATTTCTGTATGGTCATGCTTTCAATGGGCATCCCTTTAAAAGACCACTTTTCCTTCTGCCTATCCATATGGCCAGGCCACTGGCCCATCACACACAACTCAGGTAAAACCCAAAATGTAGATAGAGGCTTTTGTCATTGTTCCATTCTTCCATCATTGCTAGGAAAACAGCACGGAATTCATCCACCGAGTTGATTTGTTTTTACATCTTCAATCGGAGTAGTGGTCTTCCAAACAGAATATTGTTCATTTACCTTGGAACTGTCACCCATAAACCAAGCAGCTCTTTGTTGTTCAGTCAAGAGCTGTTTATCATGCACCATCCAAGTAATGATTTAGCCTCATATAGTCCCAAAGTCAGTCCTAAGGGAAAAGAGGCTCACTGCTTGTGAGTACCTCCTGTTTGCATTCCTCAGGCAGCATAATCCTGTATAAATCATTTCTGTCTTATTATGGAACTCTCCTGGGCATTGCCCTCTCAAAAGCCTTAGAGCATTTCTGTGACATCACCTAAGACATTATGTGTATTTCAGATGTTAAGATTGTTTTTGTACTGCAGTGATAGGGGGAGTTTCAATTAATGTCCAATAGCTGGCTACTAATTGCCTCTCAAATGGAATTCTCCATTTCATAGTCCCAACAGTTGCTGGGAAACAGTCGCAGACTTTTGCCATAAATCCCACTCTATGCTTCACATACAGCTACCACACAGAATCTGTTCCCACCGGCACTGCCGTTTCTCATCTACACTGTGGACTTGGGCAATCTCATCCACCCCCATTTAACATGTCCAATTAATAGGACAGATTTACATGCCTTCTGTTTTGTAGAAACAGTTAATTCCCCAGTCACACACAGTGTCCATGCCCATAAGACATTCAGGTAAAGGAGATGCAGCCACTTCAAACATACCAGCTCTCCCCCAGACTTTTACCTTAATCCTTCAACCCTTCCACTCCTAACTGGGACCTATCAACAGGTTTTGGTTTTATAAAATGAGGTAAGGGAGTTGTTCCCCAGTAAGACATAATATCCATTCTCATAACACTTTCAGTTAAAGGAGACACAATTTCTTCACATAGAGCCTATTTAAACATTTCGATTTCCATCTAAACCTCCACTTTAATCCCATCAACACTTAAACACTTCTATCTTCTTTTAGTCAAATTGAAGACCCCCTATAGGGCTTCACTAACAAGTTTTGGTACCACAGTGAATGAGGCTCCCAGGTCAAGGAGTCCCAGAAACTTTTTTCCCTATCCCCTGACCATTTTACCCTTTCATGTGCAGAAGGCTTTGGGTCCCTAGTGAGAGGTTGAGCCCTGTTCCTTTTGTCATGACAAAGGTGAATCTGCCTGACTATTGCCCTAGTTGATTTCAGATCAGATTTCTGTTTGTAATCTTTGTCTTTTGGCTTTGTAAGTTCTCTACACTGGAGTAAATAGAGTGGACTTGTTTGGGGCCCTTTAACGGAGGAAGTCCCTTTGGTCCACCCAATTTTGCATAGTTCTGTCTTAAGACCTTTGTTTCAAACCCATCAATGTCTGTTTCCTTTATCCCATTTCTTAATAAAAATCCAAAGATTTTCACACTGCTGAGATGAGTCCTTTGACTTTCTTTTTTCTTCTCTGTTTTGGCCTTACCAAAGTTTCCTTTATTCTTCTTATTTCTTAGTAACCATTTACAAGTTTCCACCTTGCTGGAACAAGTCCCTTGATTCTCCCTTCTGCCTCTCCTCATTTTCTCATTAATTAACCTAATGTTTTTATTAGCATCTGTAAAACCCAAGAGGGGGAGCTAAGACAGCAGATTCACTCT